CGAGGATTCGAGACGCTGCCGACGCAAGAGGCTGCCGCCACGGATCTCCGATCCGTAGGCGGCCACGGACATCAACTGAAATTTCGGACACACCTTGGCAAGGATAGAGTGAAAGCAAGGGGGGGGGGGAGGGAGCTCGAGCGAAACGTCAACGGAAGATCGCAGACGGGCGGCCAGCGACGCTTCCCAAGGAGCAACCCTGTTCGGAGAACGACTTATGCTCCCTTTTTCCAGCTCGGGCAGGCCAGGTGGCGAGGATTCGAGACGCTGCCGACGCAAGAGGCTGCCGCCGCGGATCTCCGATCCGTAGGCGGCCACGGACATCAACTGAAATTTCGGACACACCCAGAATGCTGCAAAATGCACAGCTAGACTGGCAACGCCGAAAATACAACAATTGTTAATCAAGCGTCGGAAGACGTCCCGCAGCACGCCCTATCAAAACGGAGAACTGATTAGCCCGGGACCGGGCTTTCTCGTCGGCATAGGCTCTGGCGAGGGTGCTGCAGAGCTTGCAAGGATATGCCTCCGCCAATCTAGTGCGGAACCTGCCCGACGCGTCTTTGCCGGACAGCTCTTGATGCCGCTGCCCAGTGAGGACACAGACGGGCCCTGTACATCTGAATTTGGCCAAAGGTGCCAAGTCGAGGAGAAACGCAGCTATCCTGGTGCTCTTCCTCCAGGGCGTCCCGAACCGGCAGTGCTCGATCACCTGGGTCGTGACCTGCCGGCGCTGGAGCAGGGGCAGCATCGGCGGCAGCTGCCACGCGTAGCTCAGCGCGGGGTTCTCGACGGACCAGGGGACGAAACACTGGCAGCACAGCACGCAGAAGGATATCGTAAGCCGCGCGTACAGGTTGCCCCACTTCACCTTCTGGAAATCGGCGCTCTCGGGATGGAGACTGGGCAGGCCCCAGACGTGCTCCTGGGACCGGAGCCGCGGAGGCCCGTTGGGGCGGTCTCGCGCCCGCGAGAAGGTCTCGCAAGGAAAGCCAGCATGCAGGCCGCAGACGAGCCCCGCCCGTATCCACCCTCGAATGAGGCGGGCGCTCCTGGGGTTGCGCAGGTCGTAGGCGGGGCCGTACAGGATGTCCCACCGCAATGTGGGGACATTTCCCCGCTCCATGGCATCGGACAGGTGGCCCGAGCCCGCGAACAGCTCGAGGAACACGGCGACGGTGGGCGCCCTCAGCGGCCCAAAGACGGCATCCGCCTCCCCCGCAGCGCGTCGGGGAGCTCCTGAGCGGCCGCCGCGGCCGCCCGCTGCGCGTCGGGCGGCAGGCGGCGCAAGAGGTCGGCCAGTCGCCCCCCGTGCTCGTAGCGGCGGAGGCTCCGCGCGGACCGCCACCGCCCGCGGCGCTGGATCTCCCCCAGACGTCGGGCGCCGGTCGCGAAGTCGACGCTCGCCCCCGCGTGCCGGAAGCGGTAGGCGTCGAGCGGCCCGAGGGGCCCCAGGCGCCAGGCAGCCGCGGCCTCGTCCAGGGCCCGGCGCAGGGCGCTGGGCGTCAGATCCAGCAAGGGCCCGCCGCCGCGCTCCAGCCCCAGCTGCACCAGGGCGTCTGCGAGCGCCGCCTGCCGGTCGAGGTCGAGGACGATCGCCTGGTCGAACTCCTGGCTCTTGGACGGGGTCCGCATCTCGAACGGGTGGAGCAAGACCGATGTGGGGGTCCACTCGCGAGCTCCGCTGAGGGACCCCGCCACTACGTCGCGGCCCCGTAGCAGGAACGGCTCTCCTGGCCGCAAGTACATCTCCATCATCATGAGAATGGCCAGCGCGTGGGGTCTCAGCCCCTGGCAGATCATCCAGCACGCCAGCAGCGCCACCACGTCGTAGGGCAGGGGCAAGCGGCCCCCTGCTGGGGCAGCGCGGCGCCAACCTCGCAGACACTGTCGACAGACGGGCATCCGCCCGCCCCCCAGCCTGCCCAGGCGCGGCTCGGCCCACTGCACCGACGCCAAGAGCTTCTCGCCCGCGCTCAGCGAGCCGCCCTCCATGCACATGATCTCCATCAGCCCCGCGGTGGCGATGTCCCACTCCTCCTCGGTGTTCGGGTGGTCCCCGCGGGAGTCGCAGAACCTCTGCAGGGCGGCCAGGTAGAGGGAGTACTGGGCCTGCGTCTTCGCCGACACCGAGGCCCTCCGGAGCAGGCTCATCTGGGCCTGCGGGGCCCGCGCCGCCGCCAGCCTGGCAGCGCGCTCCACCCGCGCCCGCGCCGCGGTTGCCCGCAGGCCCCCAGTCTCCAGGGGGGCCAAGGCCGGGCGGGAGGCCGACCCCGCACTGGGCGGCGGCGGCTGGCGGCCCGCGGGGGTCCTCGATCTGTCGGACCTGCCGCGCGCCAGCATTGCGACCCTCGCCGGCGGCGGTCGCGAGTTCGCGCCGCAGGCCGGCAAGCGGGTCGCTCGGCGCCGCCCGGCCGCGCGAGGGTCCGTCTGCAGGGTTGAGCTCCGACGCGATCCAGCGCGACCGCAGGAGGCTGCCGGTCCCCAGCAGCAGGGCGCCCAGCCGGCGGGTCACCGAGAGCATGCCATCGCAAGACGACCGTGCCTTCGTGGCGGCCAGGGAGGCCGAGATCGAGTCCCCAATCACGAGCAGCCTCGAGCCCAAGTTGGCGACGGACCTCAGGAGGTGGCGCACCCCGTACAAAAGCGCCTCCGCTTCCAGGGCCGGCATAGACGTCGAGGCCCGTTTCCACCTCTGCCTCCCGCACACCCTCCAGGGAGCCCTCAAGAGGTCCAGGGGGACGTCCTCGAACGCCTTCGTGTGCCGGCGGTCGAACTCGCTTTCGGGACGGTGGTGTCGAGACTGGGGCCGCACGAGCTCCATCAGGATCCGCCTGTCGGCCTCCCCCTCACCCCCGTGCAGCTGCGCAGCGGCCGCGGCGAAGGCGCGCTCGCGGGGAGGCCGCCCTTCCCGGGCCGCCTCCCGAGCCCCAGCACGCTCCGAGTGACGGCAGGCCTCCTTGACCAGGGCCACCGGCGGTCGCCCCCGAACGGCCCCCAGGCCCCACGGCGACGCGTCCACCACGACGACGTCAGGACAGGTACCCGCAGGTGTTGACCCAGATGAGCGGGGCGATACGGTCCCAGACGTCGAGCTCCTTTCTGGCCGAGGCCCAGAGGGCCCGAGGCCCCCGGGCTGGGCCTCTCCGCGCGGCCTCACAGAACCTGTGGCAATATTTGAACACGCTGAGCGACTCTCGCCTACACAGGCCGATGAAGCACAGATGGCCCAAAAGGCGCTCCAAGTCCCCTCCAGAGACCGAGGCCCGTGCTAAAAGACCCCGAATGGCGAGACGAGCCTTCCAGACGCGCTCGGGGGTCGGGCGGAAGGTGCGCCGAAGGCAATCGATCTCCCACCCCAGCACGATGGCCCGATCGCAAGAGACAGACTCTTTATGCAGCGGCAGCCCCCGAGACTCGAGGGCCCGGGACACTCCTGCCAAGCGTTCACGAACAACAGCCTCGCTCGTCGAAATCACCACATAGTTGTCTACGTACTGTGCGCGAGGGGAGGAGGCGAGGGGAGGCGGAGGGGAGCCGTCCGCGAGGCGGGCTGCAGCAGGGGATCCTCCCTCCTCGGCAGCCCGCTCGTGGATCGCCTGGCACCACCATAGGGCCCAGGACCACCCCATGGGCAAGGCACGCATCCGAGGGGTGACCCAGGTCCCCGGGGACACACGGACCCCCTGGACTTGAGAGATGCCCGCCCACGAGGCCCGAATTCTTCGCAGCCCGAAGTACTGGCGGAGCCCCTCTGGGAGCTCCATGTGATAGAAAGCGTCTTTTATATCGACCTGGCCGATAAACACGGGCTGATCGAGGGAGTCATCGCCATGCACCTGGGAGAGAGTGTCGCCAGAGACAAGGCTGACAGGGGCGGGCGGCTCGAAATGCTGATTAGACCGCCGACAGTCGACGACCAGCCGCTGCTTGCCGCCCCCCTTTTTTACAAAGAAGCAATCCACCACCTCGGTAGGTCGCTCAAGCGTCAGCTCGGCTACGCCAGCCTCGACCAACCGCTGAACGAATTCGCCGTGCAGAGAGGGAGAGTGGAGGCGAGGGCCCCCATAGGGTCGCAGGGGCCCCGAGTCCTTTAACCTCATTCGTGCCACGTCGATGGGCAAAACTTGCGACTCAGCAACGCGCGCAACAGTACTTTCCCCGCCGGATCCCCAAAGCCGAGCGAGCGGAGTCGGAACCGACCCAGCCGCCGGGAGGGACACGCGGGAGGCTTCGTAGCCCACAGGGCCGCCCCCAGCGTCGTAGGGGAGGCCGAGGCGCAGCGCCTGGAGGGCTGCCGCCTGCGAAAGATCATCTGGGGGAGGCCCCAGGAAAGAGACAGAAGACTCAACGTGATCGAGCATACGCTGCTGCCCGAGGCTCAGATCAGCAGGTACAGGTACCCCTTCACGGCGGCCATATATCGTGTTGAGACCTTCTAAGCACCGAAGAACGTCGGCGTGGCGACGCTGCCGACGGCCGACTCTCTGTCGGCAAACTCGCGAGAGCCCAGGTGCTGGTGGCTCCGGCGAGTTGAGCAGCTCCGTGGGGAAAGGTAGCAGATCCCTCCCCACGTTCCTGTCAAAATTCCCCGGCGGCGCGACGGCGTGCCGAGCATCCCCAGTCATGTCAGGATCCCCCCCACCAGACCTGAGGGACGTCTGGGGGGGGCGGTCGGGCATCACCCCTGGTCCTTCCCCTGGCCCTGCCTCCGCTTGCCCAGCGACTCCCGAGCCTCGCGCGCCTTCAGGAGGCTCTTGGCCAGCGACGCGTCCCGCTCCAGCTCCTGCTTGGCGCTCTCGAGCAGCGCGGGCGACACCATGAGCCTCGACTCGGCCCGGGCCGTCGCCCCGAAGGCGGCCTGCTCGTCGGCGGTGAGCCTCCCCGCGGAGGAGCCCGCTGTCCTCTCGCGCAGCTTGTCGCTGTAGCAGTACTCGATCGTCTGGAGCCGGCGGAACATCATCTCCACCGAAAGGATGTTGGACGCGTCCACCTGATCGTGCTGGAGCAACGCCTTCAAATAGCTGATCACACTGGCATGCTCCTCCATGCCCCACTGGGAGTCCTGGAGCCCGCACAGCTTCTTGAAGTGCTCGAAGTGGGACTCGAGAGAGCGGCCCTCGCCCGCGAGGTGCTCGAGGCACCGCATGGTCGTCCTCGGCGCGATGAAGTCGGGAAGGTGCTCCTGGCGGCAGCTCTCGACGAGGTTCTCGAGCGTCCGGAAGGGCCTGCCAGCGCGATCGAGGCGGACCGGCAGTAGGCGACAGTCGGGCGACACCGCCCGGTCGGCGAAGGCCGACTCGTCACCGATGGCCACCCACTCGACGAAGAGAGACGACCCGTCTGCGAGCGAGACGACGCCGCGGGCGGGGGTGCCCGCCCCAGCGAAGCCCGCTGGAGGGATGATCACATCGCCGTAGTGGTACCCCCTCCACTCCTGGGCGACGCGCCAGTTCCCCACGGGGGCGGGGGCGGCGTCGCCAGCGCCACCCGCCAGCACCAGGGGTCGGGCCCCCCCGACCACGGCCGCCGCGAGCGCCGCTCCCGCGGGCGCCGGCGCTCCGCCCGCCTCCCCAGAGGGTGGGCGGATCAACAAAGTTGAACCGGCTCGTTGCGGTGTTCGCACATGCAGAAATCGGATCAACTTTCATGAGCTAACAAAAGAGCGGATCAACAAACGCGTCAGCGGATCAACTTTGTGATTTTTTGTCCATTCATGAGTATAGTGTTATCAACGAAACTGGTAGAGTGCATCGCATCCAGGCTGTTTTTGTCTCAATTGGGACAGTGTATGAGGATGCGATAATAACCGATTGCGTTGTCAGGTTGTGATCACGAGATCAGAGATTACATATTGCGGAGCTCACTTTATATAGAGGCTTGCATATCGTAGAGTGGGCGTTATCACCTCGTGGCAAACTAGCACTACAATTGCCCATGTAGTTTTTTGTCGCGACGTTGCAGCTGCGCGCGCGGGGGGGGGCATTGGTCGATGATACATAGTTGTTTTACTTGCGATTTGCAAGGGCTCTGTTTTTCAACAGCGTCGCCCGCAATGCTTTGCACGCGGGCTCCCGATATGGGATCAAGCTAAAAAAAACTCCGTTTCCTCCTCCTCCCCCCCTCCTCTTGCTTCTCTTCCTCATGTTGCTTTTCCTCCTCTTTCTCCCCTCGTTCCCCCTCCTCCTCCTCCCCCTCCGCCTTTTCCCCCCCCTCCCCCTCCCCCTCCTTCGCCTCGCCCTCCCTCCTGGCGCCCAGGGTCGGCGGCACTGGCCGCAAGGCCTTTGCAATATATACTGGCACCGCTGTTCCGAGAATTTCGAAACGAATCCAGTCGTTCAGGAGTGCCTTCTGGCCAGAATTTCGAAGCAAAGCCAGTCGTGGCGACGAGGGCTCTCCAGGGCGAGCCGTGGCGACGAGGGCTCTCCAGGACGAGGATCACTACGTCCCTGCTCATCGCCTCCTGCTGGGCCCCTCTTTCGATCGCCCGTCCGAGCGCTGCAAAGTCCGCGGGTTGCCCGCGAGTCCGAGCGCAGCAGGGGCGCTCCGGCACAGCAAGGCTATCGCCCGAGCGGTAAGCACCCTTCCACTCCTAATCCCTTTTCATCCTCCTCCTCCTCCTCCTCCTCTTCCTCCTCCTCCTCCTCCTCCTCCTCCTCCTCCCCTCCTGGCTTCTAGCCGCCGCAGCTGTTCCTCTTCCGTTTCCTCCTCCCGCTCCTCGCTACGATCCTGCTCCCCAGGGCGTGGCTCAGGCTCACGGCTTAAGGTCCTTAACCTCCTCGGTCGTCCTCTTGTCCTTCACCTCCTCGTCAATCGTCTTTTCTACTGTCTCCGCTTTCTTCTTGTCAACGTCAACCAATGGGCAGTATAAGTATTTGTCGTGTTTGACGCCATGTTGTGCCGCAGATTTTTGTTGCGTATTTCATGGCGTACCTGCGTGCTGCTGCTCTTTCACTAATGGCTGATTATTGTTGCCAATATTGTTGCCAAATTGGTCGTGATGTTGATGTACCTGTCGGCTCTTGCTGTTGCTGCTGCTCCTCATTGCTGGCCATGGCCCCCGCGGTCCGAGGCCCCTTTGATCGAGCCCAAGCCTGCGTCTCCTCCGCCCCTCCTCACGTTCCTCCCCCTATTCCTCCTCCTCCTGCTCCTCCTTTTCCTTCTCCTCATGCTCTTCCTCATCCTCGTCCTTCTCCTGCCCCTCCTCGCCCTGTTCCTCCTCCTCTCCCTCATTATCCAATCCCTCTCATCATCATGATCCCCGCGGACGCACTAGTTCACACTGCAGCATCAGCGTGCACCTCTAGAGGCATGCCATCCGCCAGCACGTTGGCGACGTGCTCGCAAAATGAGTCTGGATACTCCTGCGACTCTTTCTGGCGCTTCTTGTCACCAGAAATCCACTGACCCTGCCTCCAGCCAGAGCCAGCGTCTGCACTCGCAGGAGTTGAAACAGTCAACGGTTGCTTCAATGCGCCCAGCCTCTCATCGCATGCCCGCTTTGTCCGAATGAGCTGGTCGAGGTCTGGCAACGTGCCGCGGAACTCCAGCGGCTTGGGCGCCGCTCCTCCAAACGCACCCATCCACGAAATCACTTTCTTGGCCTTGGCGGTTTCCATTGACACGACGATCTCTGGGAGCTTATAGAGGAATGAATTCTTAGGCTGTTCCACCACCCAATACACCGATCGAGTAGAACAGAAACCCATTAAATATGACCTTCTGAGGTCGCGAACACCTCTCCCACCTTGAAGGCGGGGGAGGAAACATCTCGTGAGGGGGGGGGCAAAGAGCAGCGGGGGGTGTGGATGCCAGCCGGAGGCGGGCGATGAAGGACTGCCGGAGGGGGGGTGGGCAAAAACAAGACGGCGGGGGCGAGTCTCCACCCCTGTCTCCGTTTTTTAATTATATATTTATTTATTTACTTATCTGGTTGCCTACATTTTGAAAGCCCGTCCATTACATTAGTCGTGCAACGTAGTTCCCCTCGGTGCAATCGGAGCGCACCTCGTCGCCCTCTGGGGATGTAAAAGTTCGTCCAGTGTGATGCATCGACATCATGGTGAACGTAGAGCACTGGGGCGACATCCACACCGTCCCACTCTGAACAACTGCTGCAACGGTATATAATACATAGAGGGTGCCCAGCAGAGTTGATACGTCTTGCCAACCGTAATGGTCCTTGTCTATGGTGATAGACCGAAGGGAATGGGCTGACCTCAGGTATCGAGAGATTCCTGCCGCGCCAGCACAGACCTCAACAAAGGCAACAGTCCGCGGAATGAGGCAAGCACTTGCACGCCAGAATTCAATTACCATATCAAGCGACGCGCCTTCGGCGCACATGTCACTCGGATGCCCTTTGCGTAAGAGTTCTTGGCGCGACGTCGCCGCCTTATCAAATGCCCAGCAGCACGGACTCAAAGGCGCGCCATGAGCAACTGAAATACTGATCAGCAGCACCGTCACGAACGAAACGCTCCAGAGACCAGCTCCAGCCATCCCCCCCCGCGAAGAAGTTCTGAGGCTGCGTCAACCGCCCGATCAAATCTATGAGCCGATGCACTCTGCTGTGGAAAGACCTTCTGTGATCGAATATTGAGATGCTGCGTAGGCATCGGTTCAGCGACTCATCCAAATATGTAGAATACAGTGTTGGAGCTCCTTGCCAGGGGATCCTTGGGAATGCGACGAAGGTATATCAAGAACACCATCCCCATCCTACCACGCATTATCGATATCACTAGTCATGTTCATAATCCTCAGCATCATCGTTATCATCATTATCCTCAATGTCCTCCTCATCATTTTCCTCCATGCGCTCCTCATCCTCGTTAGCATTGCTATCCTCCGTGTATTATCTCGCTATCTCGTTCTCTCTGTTTGATTTGTCTTTACGCACGTTTCTCGGTGTGCCACGTTTCCTCGCACGTTCTACGCTCGTGGGTCTGATTGATTTCCCAGTGGTATCTGACACCGCGAACCGCTCGTCTGATCCAACCTTGAACTCCCCACGGGGGGGGGGGGGAGGGTGCGTTCTGCCTGAGCTTCGATTCGAATCCAGCCATGCGGCCGACGCCTGCGCCCGCCTGAACCCCCGGGAAAACTTCCGACCCCGCCCCCAGATCCTGTGGATCATGTGAGCTAGCAAATGGTGTTTCGGCGTAATGCGAATGTTCGCCTGCTTGCTCAACATAATGTGGGTGTCCAGATAACCTCGGAGGCGCCGCATGGCAGCTGGAGGGACGACGCCGTCGTGTGCGGCCATCTCCTCCCTCATCTTCCTGAGGGCTTCCCCAGCCCCCAAGAGGGCGTCGCCGTATACGGCGCTGCCGCCGCGCTTCAAAAGCTGTGCCAGAACGAAGTCGATCATAACTGCGACCTCCGCTGCTTTCAGCGACATGGCTCCGCCAGGGTGGTCAGGATTCTGGGAGATGAGATATCTTATTTGCACACACACATATACACAAATGCAAATGCATTTAATATTTGCACATATATAAGCACAGATGATGATCGGGATGTCTGCGCAGAGAAGGAGGGGGCAATGCGGAGAATCGAGCTCGAAGGACTTGCGCGGAGATGGGCTGGGGCACGTTGGGGGCAGGCTGTCGCCGAGACATACAGTGGGGGTGCAGCTATAATCGACTGCGCACTGCATCGCAGTGACGACGCGCCCGAACTTGTGCCTCGAGCACTCTGGGCAGTATTCGTCGCCAAAGCTTACATTATAAATGAAACAACGCTCACATGTCATCTGGTGCTCAGGCCAGCCGCCCTCGGTCTTAGCCTCCTGTGGCCACGAACGCATACAAAGACGGGCCAGCGTGAAATCATGCGCAGATTCATGCGCGCATGAACTTGCGCATGAATTCACGCGTTGCCAGGGGCCACGAGCAACGCAGCCACGAGGGAACACAATGCCAGAGACTTGTCGGGCGCGCAGACAACGGGGATTGAGGCAACGGGGGCGTGAAATGTATAGGCGCCGAGGACAGCCGAGGGGGCGGGGAGATATCGGAATTCTGTTTAGCCAGCGCGAGCTGGCATGGGAGGCGGAGTAGGGCACAAGGAGTATGAAGAGTAGGAGTAGGATTGGAGTAGGAGCAGGGGTAGGAGCAGGGGTAGGAGTGGACGGGGAGGATGAGGAGGAGGAGGAGGAGAGGGAGGAGGAGGGGGGGGGAGGAGGAGGAGGAGGAGGATGGAACCGGAGGAGGACAAGCACGAGTAGCTCCTGCCAAGCGCGCATGTGGCCAGCACGAATCTCGTCCCTGCGGTCGTCCGCGACCCTCCAGGCGCCCCAGGTCTCGTCGATCTCCTCGCTGTCACCAGCGTCCTCGGCCGCGTTGATCGTGATGTCCTCGGCATCATTCGTGTAGCCCGTGATTCCGCCGTCGTCATTGTCCTCGGTGGCCGCGTCCGCGATGCCGTCCTCAACGTCGTCAGCGACGTCGCGCATGATGTCGTTGCCGTCATCTTGCGAGGTACCGCCCGCGATGCCATCATCGGCGGCAGTGGCGTGGTAGGCGCCGATGTAGATGCCGTGCCTCGCGTCGACGCCGCCCACTGCGTCCTCCGCGATGTCGTCGCTCGCGATCTGGTCGTCGGCGCTGGAGTCGATGTCGGCAGGGATGTGGACGCCGCCGTCGGCGATGCCATCGGTGGTGCCGTCCACCGCGCGGCTGTCCACGGGGTCGTCGTTGTCCGCCACGCCGTCGTTGATATCGTCCATGCTGTCCTCGTCATCGCTAGTGCTTGCTGGTGATGCTACGACCTCGTCGCTGATGTCGTCGTCAGAGATGTCGGGCTCGCCCCTGATGAGTCCGTGTTGCCATGCTATAGCGTTTCCTGCTGGGTAGTAGTCAAGAACGTGTCTCCACTCCTCAGCAGACATCCAACTGAAATCGGGTCTCGGTACCATGTTGCTCGTAGTGGCTCGCATTACTATATAAACGTCAAGCCTGGAAGTGCTTGAGCCAAAATGGCTAGGACTGGACTGTCCAGGTTTAACTCGGGTCAGGGGCGGGGAGGGGCCAGCAGGGGCGGGGGCGAGAGCAGGCGCGGGGAGACTTCCGCGCCAACTGTGCCCCGATCCCACGGGGCGGCGGGTTCGAATTGCCCGACGTATTCAGCAGGCGACGGAGGGCAGCGAACTCCGATTGCCATGTTGGTCGTAAACCTCCTGCCCCTCCGAAATCCCCCCCCCTTCCAGCCGAAATCCCCCCTCGTGTTCCCTTCGTCGCTCCGCCCTTCCCACCCCATCGCCTCTCCTTCGCCCACTCTCGACAGCCCACTCTGTCTCAACTCCCCCCTCGCCGAGAGCCCCGATCGGGACGGGGCCAAATCGAGGGGGGAGGGCGAGGGGGGAGGGGTGGAGGAGGAGGGATAAGGGATGGAGGAGAAAGACGAGGGCGCGCGGGGGATGAGAGTGAGGAGGGGCGGAGGAAGAGGGGGAGGAGGAGGAAGAAGAGGATGAGGAATGGATGGCATGGCAGAAACAGCAGTAAAATTGGTCCTGCAATGTAGCGCCGTGGCGCTTCCCGAGCATCTTGACAGTCAAGGTGTTCAGGCGCCGCTCCTGCGGCACGCATGCGCCCATGTAGATGGCCATGTCGGCCCTGGTGAACCCTATTGCGTTGCTGTGCACCTGATCTATGCCACCGCCTAGCCGCAACGTGTTTTTGAGAATAATTCTGTGCAATGATGCGCTCAGCCAGCGCATTGCCGGTCCAAAGTACAATGTGTGCAGCACGTCAACGCAGAGAGATTGCGACGGAGACGTTGTCAGCTCTCGGGGGAAGAGCGCGCATCTGTAATTGATGCCGTCCATGACCTTGCCGTCTGGGTCCAGCCTGTGGCGCCAGAACGTGACAAAAGACGGTGGCGCAATGCTGCTGAGCGCGCCCACGTCTGGCAAAGACTTCGATGGACATAGTATGTCCCCTGCCGTCAAGTGGACTCCATTGACGACCACCGCCATGGCGACCTGCCTCCCACCAATGCCTTTAGCTGGCTTGTGCCACCTGAGAGACCCAATGAGCGCGGCTACGTCTGCAGGCGTGACCAGGTTAACGTGGAGTTCCAATCGAGCGCACGTGTCAAAATGCGAGTTGTGAGTTCGCAATGGCCATGGTGGGTTTGGTGTCCCAAGAAGATGATCGACCGACTGAATGTCGCTCTTGGAGCATTGACAAAATTGGCATGGACTCCATTTGGCGCTCCAGCTCGAGAGCCCGAGCGTGTGCGTGTGTTCAGCCCAATCGCCTTTGATGAATAATAAAATTGCCCGACATGCGAGCTGCCTGCCTGGCTCCCAGGCCTCTGGCAGCTTCGTCTTGCCATCAGCAAGCGTGAGCGGTACCTTGCCGTTCAGCAGGGCCCGAAACTGCCATTCCATCTGATGCATGAGAGGGAAGTTCGTGCAATTGCCCCTGCATCCACACTGACACGCGTCCTGGTTCTTGGTGGCGCATGCGAAGTGGCGGCGACCACTGAGCAAGTTGATCGCCCAAAATCCGAGGGATGTGTCGTTCCTGCCCGATGCTTGGGCCATGTATTGTACGCCGTCCATGTATACGCCCATCGGGACAGGACGCTGACGACCCAACTGGGTCGCCTCAAGCACGGCGGGGTGTTGAAGGTATGCTGGCACAGTCATCACTGGCTTTGCGCCTGCAGCTAGGTCCCTGGCAATGGTTAGGTCAGCCGCGTACTCTTCCTCCAACGAACTCCAAATAATTTTACATGGGACTATCCGAGTCACACGGCCGTGTATCTGGTCGAACATCGGGACGCTTACATTCTCGAAGTGCCCATTTGGCGGCGGTATGACCCGATCCAAGTGCTGTTGGTAATTGCCAGTGCTCTGTCCTGGACTGCAGGCGTAGCGGCCCCAATCTCCGCCTTTGATATTGGATTGCTGGCCGTAGTGGCAGAGCGTGGCGAAGTCCTTCGCCGACAGTTTACACATCGCGTACATCTCCAAAAGCATTCTGAGCATTTTAGCGCCCGCCTCCCTCTCTATTGTGGGAGTCGCCGCCCACTGCCTGGGCCCGGGCGGCGTTCGAGATCTGTCCGATGGCGCGCCCATGCGCGAAGACCAGCATGCAGGCGGCGCCAGGGACGGCGCCAGCCAATTAATTGAGCCGAAATGGCTAACGGTGGTGATGATGGTTGCACTGCTTGTAAATGATGAAAGGTGGCTGAGGATGATCATGACGTTGAGGATGGCGTGAGTGTGTATGGGTATGAGTGAGTCAGTGTGAATGTGTGTGGTTACATATGTACATACATGTATGAATCCGATCACATTGCGAAGCAATCACGTGGCCCCCTCCCCCCAAGCCGCAGGCGAAACGCCGTCGAGACAATTGTTGCGTCGGGAATGACCGAGGTCGACGCCGCAGCCCGCCCGACCCCCGTGCGGCAAGTCTAGGGAACGGCTCTGAGGATAATTGCTGAGTCTTGGTCAGGGACGTGAAATAAACATGAGATGCCACATGCCCCAATCTCGCGCGTTGTTCGATCGTTTTGCACGAGCGCGCGCGCACCGCAAGGTATGCCGCCCAGGCCCCAAGTCCCTGCGCTGCAGGGGCAAAGTCGAGTGAGCCCAAATCTTGTGGACTACACTCCCCGAGGAAAATAATGGCGAACGCACGCCGTGGCCTGACTCCCCGAGCTGGCTCTACCTCTGGATGCAAGGGTGCCCGTGCTGGGCTCCCCCAAGACCCTCTGGCGCACCTCGTTGCTCGGGATTCTGGCACCGTGCGCCCCCCGAAACTGCCGCGCGCCGCTTGCAAAACGGCGGCGCTGCCTCAGCGCGGGCAGCACTGGAGACCTAGCGAAATCTCGCAAGATCTTGCTATCGAAGCTCGTCCGCTCGCCAACCGATCCTCGATCTGTGACCCCCCTGGCTCTCACCAGTCCTGCGCCCCTCCTCCACTATAGTTTTCCTCCCTACCCACCTCCCATCAGCCCGGCTCAAGCCTGAGAGGGGCGTCGCGGCCCGGCTTCTGACGGCGAGAAATTTCATACGGCATTTCATTCGCGAATGAAATGGCGAATGAAACTATGTTGGATTCATTTCATACGGTCCGGACCCGGTTATTTCACAATGATTCTGCACTTTCATCCGGTTGTGTTGGGCGCATATGAAATGTGATTTCATACGGCATTTCATCCGGTCAGTTTTTCGAAGATCCCCCCCAAAACTTTAAGAAAAAAAACATCCCGACGTCGATTTTCACCAAATCTGAGATCCCCTGATCGGTTTGGCTACTGCGAGCTCGCAGCTGCGCCGACGGCGCAGCCGCGCGCCGAAACCGGGCGTCGAGCGAGGCGCCTGCACCCCCTGAGGAGCCCCGCACGCACGGAGCCGCGGCGCCTATGCGTCGGAGGTGGCAGCCCTCTTCGACTTCAGCTCGAACGTGCCCATCAGGACGGTCACGTGGCCCTGGATGATGTCGAGGTCGTTGGACATGCTGTTGATGGAGTTCAAGGCGTTCGAGTAGCGCTCCGACCCGACGGCCTTCTCGAGGCCCTTGAAGCCGACCATCACGGCCTTGCTCAGGAGGCCGTCCGTCATGACCCGCTGGCTCAGCGAGTCGAGCTTGTCCTTCAGCTGGAGCAAGTCATCGCCCCCGCGGAGCTTGCCCCACAGCCCCCCGCGCTCGACCGAGAGGATGATGTCGCGGCCGTGCTGGACCAGGTTGCTGTACTTCCCGAGCGTCTTCCTAGCGTTCGCCGCGGCATCCTTTTGAGCCTGGTTGGGGTCGGGCTCGCCACCGCCACCCTTGTGGGCCTCCTTCTCCTTCGCGAGCCTGGCCTTCTTCTGCGCCGCCGTCTCCTGTATAAGGAGGGCGACGAGGAGGAGAATAGGAGGGGGAGGAGAAGGAGGGGGAGGAGCTCCTCGGCGGGAGGTGCAGGATTGGCATCGCCGCCGCGCTTGCCCTTGAGCACCTTCCCCTGGGGCTTGTCGCCCGCCGCGGCGGCCGCCTGGCTGCCCTTGCCGCGTGGGGGCTTGACCGCGGCGGCCGCCTGGCTGCCCTCCGCGACGGTGCCCTCGCTCCCCGCCGCGGGCCCCCCGCATAGGCGCTTGGCCTCGGGCTGGTCCTGGCTGCGGGCGAGTTAAGTGCAGTTTAACACGGGGGCTTATGTGGGGATTAGTTAGATCGCGGTCATCTTCGCACCTCGCGCCGCCGCCCTGAGCCCGCGGCCCTGACCCCGAGGCGCGATTGTCTTCGCGACACTGCGGTTGACCAGATCTTCGCACCAGCGCGATTATCTTCGCGCCATCTCATGTTGTGTATCGTTTGTTTCAGGCCGCGCTCCTCAGCTTCGATCGGGCGCTTCGGCACCACGTCGTTGTCGCTCTCGCTCCACTTCTGATGCATCTCCCAGGCCTCCGTGAAGACGCGCGAGAAGCCCTCGGTGTTCCTCCTCCTCATCATCATCCTCCCCGCCTCCTCATCATCCTCCGCCTCGTCGTCCTCCTCCTCCTCCCCTCCTGCTCCCTCGAATTCCCCTCATCCTCCTCCTATTCCCAATGCCCATCCTCCCGATCCCCTCTCCTCGAGCTCGTCCTCCTCATCATCGTCGTCCTGGTCGTCGTGCATCTCGTCGTCGTCACCGCCTCGCCCTTGTCGTCCTCGTCGTCGTCTGCTTACCTCGTCGTCGTCGTCGTCGTCGTCGTCGACGTCATTGTTGTCCTTGTTGTCGACGTCGTCGTCGCCGTCTCGTCCTCGTCGTCCTCGTCGTCGTCCTCGTCGTCGTCGCCTCCTCCCCCCACCATCGGCGATGGGCCGATCGAGCACGATAGGGGCGCGGCAATCTCGATGTAGAGCGCGCGCAGCGACTCCGTCCCTGGGTGCCGCATCACCCATGGCGGGCCGAGCTGCATGCACTTCCCGAACAGCGTCACAGCCTGCGACGGAGCCGCATCGTCGTCGTCCTCATCGCCCTCCCAAACCGACCTCCTCCTCCTCCCCCTGCAGCCCCCCCTCCTCATCCTCTTTCTCAGTTTCCCCCTCCTTCCTCTATCTCCCCCTCCTCCTCGACATCCTCAGGGGCCCTCGACCTCCTCCCAGCCAGCCTGGCGCCAGCCGAGCACCCCGCCGCCCTCCTCGACGGCGGTCCTGCCGAGGGGCAGGTATTTCCCGTGGGTCCAGTCGGACCGCTCGACCCTGCGCGTGTGCGTCGCGGACTCCTGGCTATTGCCCGTCCCCCCCCCCCCTCCTCGACCCCCCTAGATACTCCCCCTCCCTCCTCATCCTCCTCATCCTTCATCATCCTCAACCTCCTCCTCGGGGTCCCCGTCTTATCCCCACATTCCGGGCACCTCCCCTCCTTCTACGTTTCCTCGCCTCCTTCCTCGATCGCCCACACCATCCATTTATCCTCCCACTCCGCCTCCTTCCATTCCTCTCCCTCCTCCGCCTCCTCCCCCTCGTCATCACCCCCTCCCCCTCCTCCTCCTCCTCCTCCTCTTCCTCCTCTCCTCCTCCTCCTCCTCCTCCTCCTCCTCCTCCTCCTCCTCCTCCTCCTCCTCCTCCTCCCTCTCCCCCTCCACGGCGTCCTCGGCCCTCTTATACTGGGCCTTGGCCCAGTCGATGCGGAACTGGGCTCTCTTCTCGCACTTCCTCTCGCCCGTGATGCTGTTGTACTGCTTCTTCATTTCGGGGTCCGCGGTCAAGGCCCGCTGCCAGCGCCCTGCTGCGGGGCTCTTTCGACAATCTGTCGAAACCTCGAAGCCGCCCTTCTTGATGTTATCCCAGAACTCCAGCTCGGCCGCCTTCTTCTCTGCCTGGGGGCCGCAGTCGCGCTCCACCGTCTTCGCGTCCTCGCGCTGCTGCTCTGACAAGGGCAGCCCCCACTTGCCTGGCGTCTGCAAGAACCCCTCGCTCGACACGTCCGCGAGCAGCTCCTTCATCTTTTCGTCCACGTTCGCGAACCCCTTGTGGCCCATCAGCGCGAAGAAGTTCGGGTGCTTGTAGGCGCTCGTGAAGACGTCCGAGACGCCGACGTCGTTGATGGAGCCGTCCCCTTTGAGCAAGATCTCCTGTAGATGCGCTTTTATCCATGAAACCTCCTTCCCTCCCACTCATCTCCCCCCTCCCTCCTCTCATAAAATCTCCCCCCTCCCTCCCTCCCCCCTCCCTCCCCCCTCCTAACTTAAAACCTGCCTCTCTCCTTCCTCCAGGCTCTTCTCCTCCCTCTTAGCCCTCTTAACATCCTTCCATCCCTCCCTCCATCTTCTCATAATACCTCCCCTCCCTCCAAAGCCCCTCCCTCTCATGCCCCCATGGCCCTCCGCCGCAAGCCGGGGGCCCCCGATCGGGGGCACGCGGTCTCCCGATTTCGACGAGCGCCACGGTTCGGGATGCAGGGTGCATGCATGATGAAAGGGGTGCAAGGATGCTAGACCCACGCTTCGAGCTCAGGGGGCCCCGCGAGGAGGAGGAGGAGGAGGAGGAGGAGGAGGAAGAGGAGGAGGAGGCCCGCATTACACTACCTAGAACCAACCATCAGCATGCTCGCGCAGCACCGCGCTAATTTCATACGCGAAATCATTCGCGAATGATTCTCCATATGATTTCGGATGCCTGCTGCTGCGCGCTTGCGAACGGTTGGTAGGGGGTGCGCCTACACTCTGATGACGATTGTAGACGATGCATTTTCCGAGCGGTCGGCCACCGCTGCCAGTCTCAGAAGTCTGGCGGGAGTTCCGGCAGCGAGAGCCTCGGCGCGGGCTTGGGGCTCGGGCTCTTGATGACCTGGCGCTCGGGCACGGGGCTGACGGCCTCCTTCTTGGACGTGTGCGGCTTCTTCTCGACGTTGTCGACGATCCCCTTGTCGTTCTGGACCCCCTTGCCACCGCTGGCTGCTGCGTCGCCACCTGCCCCTGCTGGCTCGCCGTCGTCGGCAGCGGGCCGCTTCTTGGCTGGCTGCTCGTCGGCTGCTGCGTCGCCACCTTCTCCTGCTGGCTCGTCGACGTCGGCAGCGGGCCGCTTCTTGGTTGGCTGCTTCGCGGGGACGTCCTGTGGCGCATCCTCTTCCTCGTTGTCGTCGAGCGGCTCTGATTCTTCGCCTTCCTGGCCCTCCGACTCCT